AAAAATTTAAACTGGTTTAAAAGTGGTAATGTTACTTGTACCCAAAGCATCTTAAGATATTCCAAGCCATTGCCTCCTAAAATATCAAACTGATCATTTATTTCACACCCAAACCAACAACTCTCCTACAACATCACTATTAAGACCAAATTCCTTGGCATGGGATATAAGAAAGACATTCTATGTTCTTGACTTATCTTTTCTCTTAATGCTTTACAATCCCCAACTACTATACCTTCAACGAGGTCTTCATTAATGTATAGTGGGACTTGTTAGACCCAGAAGCTAAGAGAATGTTCATATTGGTTCTCTTACAGCACATCTGTAGTACAAAAAGCCAGGTGTACCCACTTAATAGCCAAAATTAATATCAGAACATATATTTCCAGTAATAGTACAAGTCAGATGTTCAGAGAACTCAGAGTACAGTCTATCTAAAAATGCTGGATTAAATACTTTAATTTTTTTTTTATTAATGGCTGACTCAGTAAGAGATGAAAGCCAGAAAAGACAAAGATCTACAAAGCTACAGAGGGATATGCATGTACGAGAGCTAATGTTTTCCCTGTGGTCTTTGCTGATTTCTAATGCATAAAAGTCTAGGTTTTAATGATCCATGTCCTACAAGGAACAGGCACAAATCCTGGGGCCCGAACATCTGGGAAGAAGGAAACACAAATCTCTGTTGGAGAAACATACTCTGAAACCAAACTTCAAGAAAAAAATTCCAAGGAATGAGAATTCATAATTTCAAATGTAGAAATAAAAACTATAAGAAAGAATCAGCATAATCAAAAACATTACAATATCTTATCCAAAAAAAATTCCAAGGAATGAGAATTCATAATTTCAAATGTAGAAATAAAAACTATAAGAAAGAATCAGCATAATCAAAAACATTACAATATCTTATCTGTAAAAACTGTGGGCATCAAGAATAAAATATAAAGAAGCACTTTTTTTTCCATAATTCTTGAAGAAACAAAAAAAAATGAGATTATCAATAAAACCTAATAAGCTGAGAATAGTGGCACATTTCTGTAATCCCAGCACTTGGTATGCTGAGGCAGGAGGATTACTATGAGCTCCAGGCCAGCCTGAGCTACATAGTGAGTTCAAGGCCAGCCTGAATTACATAGGAAGATCCTGTTTCAAAAACAAAAAAGAGCACACAAGGCTGTGTGCCAATAAAACTTTTTTTAAAAAAGAACTAATAAGATTTATAAAAAGAACCTTCTAGCAACAAACAAAAAATGCCACTGAAATTAGAGCAAACTGTACATTTGTACAAATGAGTAAACTGGAAGGTATGAAAAATTATCCAGTGTTCAGCACACAGAATCAAAACCACTGGAACTATGAACAGAGGTCAAGAATAAGTAAAGTCCTTCTTACATCTAATCAGAGTTCCAGAAGGCATTAGAATGGAGAAGAGACAATAGTCAAAGGGAAAATAGTTGGATATGTTTCAATACCGTATTGATAAAGATGAGAATTTTCAGATTTACAAAATCCAACACATTTATCACCAAACTAAATAAGAGAAAGCCACAACACACCACAACAGAATCTAATTAGACAACAGAAGTGAACAAAGACAAACTGAGGATCAAGTAGAGACATTGAGCCTATAATGGGATCAGAATTTAAAAGAAAGCAGACATTAGAAGAGTTAATATGTGTTCATTACAGTAGTTTTGAGAGAAATTTAACTAGAATTCTGTATCACAAAATAGTAAAATTATCTTTTGAAAACTAGAATGAAACAAACATATTCAGAAGAACAGTTTACTAACAAAGATTCTCAACAAGGCTCTCTAAAGATACCCCCAAAAGAAGAAAATAACTCTGAATGAAGTTTGCGAAACTTTTTTAAAGTGCAAGTTTTTAAAAAATGATAAACAATCCCAAGCAAATATTAACTGCATAAAGCAATTATAATATCTAATTTGTGAAGTTGCACAAAATCAGGACAGAACTAGATCTCTAGATACCAGCATAAAAATTGGAAAAAGGTAAATGGAATTACAGTTTTTTGCCTGGACCCAGAGGAAAATAGTTCTAAGTTTAAATTTAATATGAATGTGTCTTAGTCTGTTCGTGCCATTACAGCAAAATATCATAAATTAACAAAGTTTTGTAAATAGGGGAGGAGGAAGGGGATGGAGGGAGGGTGGGGTATGGGGAAAATATGAGAACCAAGATCTGTCATGTAAAGGTACAAGATCCCAATAATGAGTGTAACTGTACTGTATACTTGAAAAGTACCACTAAACTCAATGAGAAAAAATATCTTAAATTGGGTAGCTCATAAAAAATAGAAATTTCTCACAAATTTATTTCTGCAGGCTGCACATCAAGGATCCTATAGACTAAGAATCTAGTGAAGGCCCCTTCCAGGTTCATGCATTACCATCTTTTCACAGTGACCTCACATGGTAGAATAGTAAGAATAAAAATAGAAAATAGTCTATTTTCTAAGGACACTAACCCTACTCCTGAGGGCTCTGCCTCATGACCTAATCACCACCCAAAGACTTTACCTCTTAATACCATCAGCTTGGAGATTTGGGTTTCAGCATATGAAATGAAGATGGAAAGGACACAAATATTCAGACCACAGGACCATGCTGAACGCAAACCACAAAAATAGAATTTATAACATTCAACCTGATACAAACAAGTAAAATTGAATTAAAGAAAAAAAATAACAAAAAGTTACTGCAAAAAAAGAAAAGGAGCAAAAAATAATCGAAGAAACAGCTCTACGTATAAAAAATGAATCCAGATACACTAGGAATCACAATCAATGTAAATGAGCAAAAGATAGTCAGGGAACCCAACCTCCAGCTTTGTGCACTGTTCAAAAGAGAGATACACCTTGAGGATAAGGACACAGAAAAGGTGAAAGCTGTCCAGCCAACACAGACATAAATAACACAAGAGCCACACAGTGTAAATATCAAGTAAGGTTTACCAGAGAAAGCTAAACAAGCAGAAAAGTAGCAAATAAACTCATGATGAAAAAACATTACTATTCTTGTAACGGGAATGGACCCCCAATATATCCAGGAAATCCTATCCTAATGGAAAGTCTGCTGAGTAAGTAAGTCACCTTGATTATAAGGAAGTCACTGGAAACAACTGCTTGCTATCAGCCTGTACACACATTGAGCTGAACCCTGCTAGACCAGCTCTGAGCTGACCCAACAAAGAAACGTGGAGATGAGAATCCAAGCTCACAGTTCCTGTCTCCCCTAGGTAAAACACAGGATGGAGAAAAGCACAACCAATAAATTCTACATAAAAGAAAGGTGGTGAATATAGCTGTGAAGATCAGATGGGAAGAATGAGGCTGAATTGGCCTCCTCGGTGAGCACTGAGGGGAAAGAGGTCATACAAGTGTGCTGACAAAATGCAGAAAAAAGAAGATCACAAGAAACCATTTAATATCCATGAGCTCAGGTGAAAAACTTGCAGGACTGCCAAGAATGTGTATCAGCTAAAACTGCACTATACTCGTATAAAAGGGTAAACTGATCCTAGCATTTGGGAAAATCATTTGCCTTTACTAGCAAAGCTGAAGACCTACATCCTATGTTCTAGCAATTCTGATATACACTTGCACAAACATACCAAGTAACAATAACAAGAATATTCACAGCAGCTCTGTATGCAATAGAAAAAAACTGTTAGTCAATAAGAGAGTGAAATAGCAGAGAGAAAAGAATGAATTCCATAATGACCTACACTTACTAATCTCAACAACAAGAAGAAGAAACAAGTCAGAAGATATGCATGATTCCATTTATATCAAGGTCAAAGACTGGCCAAATTAAACAGAATGAATACCACTTAGAAATGCCTACGTGTGTGATACCATAGAAATCTTAGGAAACTTAATACAGGTTGAAAGATAGTGCTGTTCAAGATAGACTGTACTAGGAAGGACTTAACTGGGGCGTGCAAGTCACCAGTAAAATTCCATTTCTTAGACTGAGAGGCTTACATGAACCCATTAAATCTTTCCAAAATTATACATATCAAATACATATACTCTTCTCTAGTCATCCACTTCATAATAAATTTTAAGTGACTCAAAAAAATCCAGTAGGGTTGTTTAGAAATTATCTTCTTGTTTCTTTCTGCTTTAAAAAAGTCTTTGCTTAAAAATGCCCTTTTAATAGTAGTAATATTAGCATCTGGTACATTAAGGGCTACTCCTTTTTTCAAAAAATTACTCTTAAAGATCATGCATACTCGACCTTATATAATGCACATCTGCGTCCTTTCCAAAGCAATAATACAAAATAGACTTTATTGACTTGAACACTTAACAACCACCGCTTTTCTTTACACCAAATGAAACACACCCCGTATGTTTAATGCAAGAAATCATTTCAACTTGTTTTAATGACAACAGAATCAAGACAAATATATTACTTTTTTCCAATTTCTATCTACTGCACGTTTGAAGATATTTTTATGTTCACGTATTGTAAAATCTCCCAGAGAAGGCAGGTCTCCCCAATCCCGGCAGATGACACCTCGAAAATCAATAGTCATTATTAGCTCTACACCGCACTGTGAGCCAGTGACAGATTCGACAGTCCTCCAGGATCTTCTTAGCATAGATTATATATCAGGCCTCCACGTCACCCCTCTGAGTGCAGGGGTCGGCGAGCAATGATGGAAAGACTGCGGGGGAGGGGGAATAAAAAGAGTCCCTTAATCCTATGGCCAAAAATTAGTCTTTTGGTACCTTACAAATTAACCCCTTCTATGCGGATGGAGAAAGTCACCGCAAGAAGCGCGCTCGCTCGGATCTAAGAGCTGGTTAAGCCTGTCGCCTCTGCCTAGGAGCCCTCTCTTTGCTACCCACAGATCCCTCTAGGTAGGTCATTTTGAAAACCTCTTTTCTCACAGGTGGGGAAACAACTGTAAAGAGATGAAGCTGGGGAGTGGGCGATGAAATATACCCTCTGCCACAGAGTAAGGACCTGAACAAAGTGAGGATCTCCGACGATCACGCTCCCTGTATTCAAGAAGCTGGGTGTCAAAAGAAAAGCCCCAGACCCAGGTTTCACTGAATAAGCACCCCGCACCGCCCACACAGGACCCGGAAGAGGGTAGGCGGGGTAACTGTCACAGCCCGAACCGCAACAGGCAAGCCACAGCCGGAGAGCTGGCTACCAACTTCCGCCTCGCTCTTCCGACTCAGTCTGAGGAGAGAAGGGGAAAAGTAAGGCTCGAGGGTTCCCGCGAGAAGAGGTACCTGAAACTCTGGCCGCAGTCCGTCTCCAAACCCGCACCGTAGCCCGTCACCCCACTTCCGGGGGTCAAGTCGCCGCTGGGCGGTGAGAGGTCCCAGGCCCCGTAGGCCCCGCCCCCCCAAGTCCCGCCTTCGTTGCCCTTTTAGCCAATAACTGGAGCCATTTCCGGAAAAGCGTGCGTCACTCACAGCTGATCCCCACTTCCCTACGGAACTCCGCCTTCCTCTAGCGCTGTGAGCAATAGCGTGACGGCTATCTAGATTTTCACTTATTTGATTGGTGGAGCTGGTGAGCTAGTTTTTTTCTGATTGGTCCCAGAAATGTCTACATGGACGCCGGCGGGGCTCTCTTTTTCAGCGGACCGCCTGTTTCGCGCCAGCAGGATCAGTAAACATGGTGGACGTGATGGAGTTGTCTAAATCGCGCATCAACGCCAGCATGCTATCTCAGTTCATTGACCGGCCAGTGTGCTTCGTAGGGAAGCTGGAAAAGGTGCGCGGGCTCTCGGATCTTGTGTTCCTTTGTGTGTAACTGGTAGGAGGGACCCATCGATTGCCAGGGTAACCGACTCGGTGGGTAAGGAGAGTGAGTGAGTGAACGTCTCAGATCATTATTGGCCTCCTGATCACTTTACTTTCCACACTTTTTAGCCTTTGTATATCTACTCTGGCGCATTTTGTGGCGCTGAAACGAACTTATCGAACGTGCTAGGTTCTAAATTCCAGTGGCCCTTGGCTCCCCCCGTTTTTGTGAGTTACAGATCTGACTTCCACGTCTGGATTTTGGTTAGCCATGCTCGACTGACATCTAGTCTAACGAGCTTATTTTCTTCATTTCTACTCTTGTCTCTCTCCCCAAATTTCATTTTCTCGTTGAAGTCAAATTTCCATAAAACATTGCATCTTTATCTCTTCCAGATCCCATAACAGCCCATTATCTTACTTACTACAATGTTAAAATGTAGGCCCCTCATCCTCCGTGTGAGGAATAGACTGGAAGTCTCAAAATCAGTAACGAGAGGGCAGAGAGAAAGAAAATTTACAAGGGCTTATTTAGTAGTTCATTTTATCCACACATCCTGTAAGTGAAGAGTGTTAATTCTGACTTCTCAAGTAGGGAAAATTACCGGGAGTTTTGAGTGTTTAACAAAAATGCTCAGGGCCATAGAATTTGACAAAAGCTAGCTTTCAAACCCGACCGACTACAGTCTTTGCAGTGTTTCCCAGGAGTGGAACCCAGATGTTTGGCAAAGGTTCTCCTTTTATTCATCCGTGGTACATGTATTATAACAAAATCTTGAGTGCCTGCAGATTCCATTTTTAGATAGTACTTCCTTTAATTTTTTTTTTTAACATAGGTTGCCAGATTTTGCAAGTAAAGACACAGGTCCTCTTACACTAAAGAAATATTCATTTATCTGAAATTGAAAATTAACTGGGTGTCTCATGGCTAGATCAAGTAACATAAGATTGCTATTTGAACCAAATAAACTGTTTGAAAATCAACTGCTTGATGCTCAAGTGAGTTAGGGTCAATCTGCCTATCTTCAATCAAATTTTTTTAATGAAAAATTTTAAAGGTTTTATGTGGGGATTTTTAATTGTATATATCTTTCTTAGATTCATCCCACTGGAAAAATGTTTATCCTGTCAGATGGAGAAGGAAAAAATGGAACCATTGAATTAATGGAGCCAGTATGTTTAAGTATTAACTCTATATATATTAAATTTGGTTCATCTTACTTTAATTTGTTGTTTTTTCTGATTTTTTTGAAGTGGATGTATAAAGAACAAGTTTGTAAAGTATCTCCAGCTCTGCATGATTCTTTGGACTTCATAACAGAGGGGGGTTGTTTGTGGGTGTTTTGTTTTTGTTTTATGTATTTTGGTTTTTTAAGGATCTCACTTTGCCTTTCAGGCTCGCCTTGAACTCACTGTGTAATCAAGGCTGGCCTCAAACTGACTGTATTCCTTCTCCCTCAACCTCTTAAGTGCCAAGATTATGAGTATTCGCATTCCCATGATATTTTAATACATCCCTGAAGTGTTAGTTGGGTAATAATTCTGAATTCTTAGGTAAGACCATAAAATCCCATATGAAAACCCTGTTAAAATCTTTTTTTCCTCTCTCTTTTTGTGGCTGAATGTCCCTGTTGCTATGTGTTGCCCTGCTGCTTCAGCCTCCCCAGTAGCTGGAATTACAGTCATGCGGCATATTTTTATTTACAGATATTTTCAGTTATCATCTATTTCTGCATTTCATGTTTAAAGTGCTTAAAAACATTTTTTGGTCTTTTATGAAAACAGATTCATACACTCTTTGGTTAATGTGTACAGAACACACTTCGTGAAATACAAATTAGAAAAGGATGCTTTTCAGTGAGTCCTTTAAAACAAATTATTGCTTGTAGAAATTCCGGATATTCTTAGTATCTTTTCAGTATTTAACTGTATCTTTGGACCTGAAGCAATTACTAAAGAAAATAAGAGTTGTAATGTGCTGGTAGTTAAGTATCATTTTTCTTGGTACTGGGGATCGAACTTGGGTCCTTATGCTTGTGAGGCAGGCCGGAGCCACTAAGCCAGATCCCAGGCCCAAGTACTCGTTTTTTAACTTGTTACAGTTCATTTTTTACATTGGTAAATTTGAAGTTGCTTTGTTACAATAAAAAACTAGCAAACTGTTTTAACAGCTTGAAAGATGAGTAAACTAAACTGTAATATTTTCCAAATTAATTATCAACTGAAAATGTGATTTAACCAAATACTTTTTGTTCACTGTCTTAGCTTGATGAAGAAATATCTGGAATCCTGGAAGTAGTTGGAAGAGTAACACCCAAGGCTACCATCATGTGTGCATCTTACGTCCAGTTTAGAGAAGACAACAATCCTTTTGGTAAATAAAGCATTCTTGTATTTACAAGCAATTAAGAGGAAAAGTTTTTGTATTCGTTATTGAATTTTGTATTCTTTATTATGTGTTCGTCTTGAGTCTCATTCCTGCCATGCAGTCCCAAAAGAAAATAGGATGTTTCTGCCTTCTTATAAGTAGTCCTTGTAGTGAAGGCTAATATTTGTGGGGGAAAACAGATGGGAAGAGGGAAGGTTATAGTGAATAAATACAATGATCCATATCTCAGTTTTAGAAATTGGATTGTGAAATAGGTTGACCTTTAACAGAGAGAGAGAGAATTGATGTTACAGCTTTCCACTGCAGATTAATTGTTTGCTTCAATGTTTCTTTCAGATCTTGGACTTTACAATGAAGCAGTGAAAATTATCCATGAATTCCCTCAGTTTTTTCCTTTCGGAGTTGTACAACATGAATCTTGATAAACATTTTTGTGATTACAAGAAGCTACACTGATGAATATTAAAGGAATCCCTTCAGATTTTAGGGAGACTTCTTTGATTTCTAACATTTAATTTGTTTTTAAAATTTCATTATCAAATGTTAGATATTTCAATATGCAATTTTTGATGGACCTGCTATATTATTAACAGTTCTCACCTAACGTTCTTTTTTTTTTTTTTTGGTATTACAGGTCAAACCACCTAAGACCCTTTATAAAAAAAGTTGCTACTATGTGGTATGGTCAGATAAGTTGCAAAAGCAAAGCATATGTGGTATGGTCCGATAAGATGCAAAAACAAAGCATCTGGTCTTGTATTTATGTTTCTGTTTTACTAATAAAAATTTGAATGGTGTATACTATTCATTTTTGTCCTTTTAATCATGCACTCAAACATAAACTTGGAATTTCATAACTGTGAGGTCATGTCTTAGGCCTACCAAATGAAACTCTGGGTCAACTGTGTTAAAGATTTACCCACCATTTCATAAATTCTACCATGTTAATTATTCAATATTCAGAAAATGATTTTTTGTTGCTTTTTAATTTTTGTTAGTATGTTTGCAGTACATATTAAATTCATTCATAGTAAGGAATTGGTACATATACATATCTCATCTTGATCCTTTTTACTTCTCCCCTCCCCCCATCAACATCATAAAGTAATTTTGACAATTGAAAAGACCAAGCAGAACCCTACATTGTATGTAATTTGCACAGAATCTATTTCTAGATTTTAGAACAGCATGTACTAATGGCAAACAAGTGACACTTTCATCATTGAAGAAAGAGTTGATGGAATCATTTAATTTTTGTTTCCCTTCTTTCAAGTGCCATTAATTATCCTTAGTGTGTCATTCCTAACAAGTGACACTGGGGATAGGCAGGGAGGGATGCGGCAAGTGTAGGGTAGGACAGTGCAGAATAACTGATGGCCCCTAGCTAGTTGGATTTTATGTCTTAGCCAGCTCTGCAGCGAGTATATAGGCTGTCAGTTATACCCAAAAATATTTATTTTAAATTAATACAGTCTTAAATTTCAACTTCTATCCCCAAATACTCTGCAGGTAAAGGACATTAAAGCATTTTATTATTTGAACTTATGACAGTTGGGGCTGGGGATTTAGCTCAGTGTTTCCACCACCTGCCTTGCAAGTGCAAAGACCTGAGTTCGATCCCTGGTACACCCCCCAAAAAAAAATCACCCTCACTTGAAATTATGACATTGGAAATGAGAGGTATCAAACAGTCTCAAAGTGTTGCCTTCAATTTTTTTAAAAAAGGGTGGGGATCAGTCCTCATTTCAAATGTTAACCTCTGAAACCAGCCAAAATGTTGAGAGTTCTCTGCTTGAAACATCTTGAATTACTGTTTAGAAAATTGCAATAAATGAATCTAGGATCTTGCTTTCTGTTGCATGAATCCTTAACTGTCAATGATTATAAGGCCATATATAGGCTCAGCATCATTTCTGAGCCACTTAACATCTATACCTAAGTTTCCTACCAGCACTGCAATCTGAATGAGTAGTCTGAACAAGTGTAGCTCCTGAGTCGCATATCCCAGATTTTTCTTGCAATAATTCCATTGAAGTACAATTCACATACACAATTGGCCTATTTCAAACATGCAGTTGCGCGGTTTTCAGTATAGTTGTTCAGCCTTCACAATGATCAACTTCAGAACATTTTTGACAACCCCACGTTTACTTTCCATATCCCAATCCTTCCATCACCATTCACTCCCTCTACCTTACACTGAACTACCATGGTCCTTTATCCAGAGTATTAAAAGAAAACTCCAGGAGTAAATGGTTTGTGAGTTTAAAATTGCACCTTCTGAATAATGTGGTAGAAACTGACATCCTGCTTCATCCTGCCCAGGACACAAATCTTCCCTTTGTCCAGTGTACACCGATACCTGCTGGCCACCTGCCCATTATTCACTTGGTGTCTGTCTCAGTTATATTCACTGTTCGGATATAACTGCACGTATCCACAGCTTCAAACATTTTTTGGGAGTCTTGAACTGTATTCTCCCTTGCATAAGGGGCAACTATTGTGCTTTCTCTAAAATTGTCTCCATTCTGGACATTTAAATGGAATGCTGTGATTGTGTGTGTGTGTGTGTGTGTGTGTGTGTGTGTGTGTGTGTGTGTGTGTGTGTGCGTGTGTGTGTGAATGGGTTCTTTCTCTTAGTGTGTCAAGGTTCATTGATATTATAACTTCTATCAGTGCTTCATCTATTTTTAAGACTACTACTCCATTGTACATGTAAACCATATTTTGTTTTTCTGTTCATTGGTTGATGGACATTAGGGTAGTTTCTGCCACTTGTTTATAAAAATACAATTATGAATATTTGTGTATACTTTTTTTGTATGTGCATCTGTTTTCGTTTTTGTTTAGAATATGCCTGGAGGGGAATTTTTTCCTCTTATGGTAAATATTTTTAGCTTTTTGAGCAACTGAGATTCCAAAGTGACTGACCACCATTTTATATTCCCACCAGCAGTATCATGTGGAATCTAATTTTTCCACATCCTCACCAACACTACTATTACTTGGCTTTGTAAATTTTAGCCATCCTAATGCATGTGATTTAGAATCTCTCTATAATTTTAATTATCTCCGTTTCCTTTAAAACTTCTATCAACTGCCTGTTGCCCAGACACACCTACATACCTCCAATCATTTTCATTACCTATTCTTGCAACTGACAGTTCTGATTATTGTCATCTCCCACTTGAATTATTGTAACAACCATAGTTATACATATCGCTGGCCCTCCTGTTTCCACCCTCTTCCCATCACATAGCCAAAAAATTACATTAAACGTCAATTGAAATATCACAGTGTAAAGCCTAAGGAGTGTGGAAAAAGGAAAACTCCGGGAAGTTTTTATGGGGAAACCTCACAAATGCCTTAAAGACATGATCAAAGAACAGCAGTAGTGATGATATGTGGATATCATGTGCCCTCTAACATGTGAAAGGGCACCTAACCTTTCCCAAACCTTAACTACATTCTTATCATGAGAATACATCAGACAGACTCAAATCGAGGACATTCTACAAGCTTTCAGCACCCCTTAGAACTACCAAGATGGTGAAAAACAAACTCACAGAGCATAGAAGACACAGGAAATTATGATAACTAAATGTGATGCAGGAGCATGGACTGGTTCCCAAATAGGAGGAAAAGATGTCAATGGGAAATGTGATGAATCTGAATAAAGAGAGTTCATTAATAGTAATATACCGATGCTGGTTTCTCAGTTTCAGCAAATGTACCACGGTAATGTAAGAAAACATTAATGGAGACGAACTGGATGAGGGGCTACGAGAGAACTCTGTACCTCTAAAATTACTCCCAAGTAAAATGCATAACCTCCAGAGGGTCCCCACTGACTAGATTGAATTTAAATTCTCACTGTTATTTGAGATTGTTCATAATCTGACATCTCACCTCAAACCTAAACTTTGTTTTCCCCTGGAAGTTACCCTCCAGCACCAGATCTGCTATTTCCAAAACACAAACCCTTTAAGAGCTGAACTGGGTGCTCTTGTACACACTGTGCTAATGGGAATGTCTGTTTTTTTCACTTTTTACTGCATTCCTTTCCTCATACCTCTCATTACATTTAACTTGATGCTAATCTTAATATTAATAATTGGCTTTGGACCAGGGATTGAGCTCAGTGGTTCTGCTGCCTGCTTCACAAGCACAAGGTTCTGAGTTCGATCATGGTACCACAAAAAAAAAAAAGAAAAAAGAAAATGGTTTGCCTCTTTTAAAAGTGCTTTAAACGTCAGAAAATAATGGTCCCTGTCTTTGGACATGGCTATGGCTTGATGTCTGGTTTTCCAGGCTCTCTCTACAAGGACAAACTATCTATAGGACCTCAATATACTTCTCTGAAACATACATTTCTCCTTAATATGACTTGGCAGTTGATATATAGAACTATCTACTCTTTAATGGTAACAAAATAGTCTATTGTGCCAAATATTCCCTAATTTATTTAACCAATCCTCTTCATCTTCCCCACTAAGAAAGAGGTCCTTGTAGATGAGAATGAAGTCTAGCATAGTGTCTGAATAATAGATCCAGTCTAGTTCGAGAAGCCAGAAAGACAGAAGAGGTAATGAAGGCCTGAACTATACTATGACACAGTTGACAAATATAAGAGGCAAGGAATTCAGGGTATTTTATATATGTGTATACATACACATCTACAATACATAGATCTCATAGAACTCAATAATGACATCAGGAGAAAACAGAATAAGAACCAAGAAAGAGGGCAATGGTTAAGAGATAATAAATTTGCATCAATACAAATTAGAGTAGTTGAAAGATCCTTTAGTTGAGATATTTAAAAAACAAAAGTGTGCAAGTTTGGATAATTTAGTGACTTTGTGACACTATCTCAAAAAATTAGAAAGGACTGGGGCTGTAACTCAGTGCAAAAGCCCTGGGATCAATTCCAAGTACCTAAATAAAATAAAACATAGGACCGACCAGGCCTGGGAATATAGCTCAGTAGTAGAGTGCTTGCTTAGCATTCATGAAATCATGGGTTTGGGTTTGATGCCTGACAACATAAAATTTTGGGTCAAACAGATTAAACAGACAGTCTGCCTCAAGCATTTAAAATAGAAAGAGTTTAAGAGGCCTACCGCCTCTTATCTGCAATTTCAAAATCTAAAATGATTCGAAAGACCAAGAGTTTTTTTGGTTAATTTAAGGCAACACTCATTTGGGCAGCAAAATTTGCTAAAGATGGTGGAATTATTTATAGTCTTGATCTCACTTTAGATAAATATTCATATATCTAACTGCAGAAATAATATTTTGTTTACAAGGCGCAGTCTCTCTCTTCATGAAGCATTAAGTAACACATAGTAGATACATTTTATGACTTTGTTAAAATCCCAAACTTCAAAATTCTAAAGCACATCTGGTTTCAAGAGTTTCAACAAAAGGATTGTGTTTCTAAATCAAAGGCTATATTACAGAGTCAGAAAACCTTAGACCCACTGACAGACTCTTAGTGGGCTGTGCCGCTTACACAGCAGAAGTGGGAGAAAATGAATGGAAAGAGGAAGAGTAATGTTTGACTCAGGAAAAGAATCACAACAGTGATTTCAGTGACACCTAGGAAGTATGCAGTAAATATTTGTGGACTGATAGAATATCCTGAAAATCAATGAAGGAGTTTCAAAGACAATAGACTTTATTTTCTGAAAGCTCAAAGAGCAAATTAAGGATAAAATAGGCATTCATTTATAAAATTTAGTACATTTGTTTCTAAAAAAGAATTCGGGTGAAAACAATGAATGACAGTCATTTTTAAAAGCAGATG